CTGTAAGACTGCAGCTCCAAGCCAAGATTACTATTTCTGGCAATGTTTGCCTCAGGAAGGAACTTTCGCAGATTTAATGGGACCTGGGCCATTGTACACAGCCTTCTGTATGGCACCCTGCCATCATCTCCACAGAGAAGGGAAAAAAAGAACTGAGGGATGTGTATAAAGTCAAAACAAGACTGTCGCGTTTATGTGATCCCAAATACAGACAATATATTTCAAACACTGAAATCTCTCTGAGGTGCAGAGGGACTCAAATGATTTTTTATTTGCATTTAGGAGTTTGAATGCGAGTCTGAAAGGGACTACGTGGTGCTGGTTTGTCTATTTTGTAGAACAATTACTGTCTTTATGTTCTGTAAAATGTGTTAAAATTAGAAACACACTTTGTTCTTTTATCTCATCTTTGCTCACCATTATTCTAGACAATGGTGGAACAAGTATTCAGATCTTCTACTTAAGTAAAAGTAGCAATAACACAAAGTAAAAATACTCTGTCACAAATAAAAGTCCTGCATTCAAAACTGTACTTATTGTATATTTTAGTATTTAATCAATATTACTGTCACATTGATATGTAAGTAGCATTTTGCTTGAAGTGGAAGAGATTTTAAAGACATTATTGGTTTATATTATTAGTTTAAGCTGAAACAATGCATCACAAATTATATTAACAAAACAGATACATAGCTATTGGAATACAAAATAAAATAAGAAATTAGAGAGATGGCATTTAAAAAGCTTTATATATATATAGATATATATATATGTGTGCAAATATCTGTGCAGAAAAAGTTCAATGTTAATACACAAATAAAGAAACTAAGCTGTAACATTATTTGAAATTACCATATAATATTAGTACTCAAGTAAAGTACACCGACTTAGAGATCTCTTGTCTCAAGCTTATGCATGTTAAATGCATGTTATTTTTCTCCATTTAATCAGGTTGTGACTGCATGATACATACAACACTAATGAGCATGTGAAGGCAGTAAATGTACAAGCAGCTCCCCCCAGTGACAAAATGTTCTCTCTTTTTGTTCAGGAGTAAAAAAATATATTGAAAAAAGAAAACATTTCCCTCTGAAATGTAGTGGAGTAAAGCTTAAGGTGCCATAAAATGGGAAAGCCCTCACTATTGTAACTTATTCACCACTGCTTTTGTTTCTGTTCATGTTGAGCGACTGCAGCAGCTGCAGACAGAAACATAGTCATAGAGCTAACATTGACCTTCTAATTGAACACATCTGATCACAGAGAGACGAAGAAAACCCAAAATGTATGTCCCTTGAGTTCGTCAACTGTCTGCCTTTAAGAATAAATTCTACAATTTTCAAGTTTTAATATGTGTAAATTTGTATTGACATAATCTGGGGCTTGACTGGTGTTGATCGGAGTCTCCAGGCTGTAAATAAGTTACACTCAATGTGGATTTACAGAAACAATTACTGCATTTCTTATTTAGTTGAGGGCAATTTTGAGGTATGTTGTAGTTTACTTTAGTATTTTCATTGTCTGCTACTACAATTTAGAGGAGAGTACTTTACTCCACTACATTTATAATTTATAACTACACTACAAAGAAATGATGAGGGATTATTATATAAAATAAGACTTTATAATACATTATTCTGAAATGGGCAATTCTGCATAGTATGTACTTTTAGTTTTAGTAGGTTACACTTTGATGCCGATATTTGTGCACTTTTGCACCGCTATAACTCATTGATAATTCAACTTCAATATATGGTGCACTATCGCAGGTGGACATATTAACATGATGATGCTGATTTGCTGCCCTGTGTTTCCTTTTGTGGTAGCGTACCTTTGGCTCTTCGCTCGGCACAGTCGGAGTTTAAAACATTAAGTGGTCATTAGCTGGACACTGGAGTGGTAGACTAATCACACTCACCCCGGCCTGCCCTGCGCTGTAAACAACCCAAAGGAGCTGGTTTAATGGAAGCTTTTAAATATGACGGTGACTCAGTGCCTTTGAGCAAAAACCACGCGTTTACATAAGAGCAGATTAAAATCGCCTCTCGTGCGGCAGGTTCAGGGCCATCTTCAGCCTACAGTGTGCAAACGTACACACGGTTAAAGCACACACTGTAAGCAGCGCTGTGAGCTAAATGCTGCAGGAGGAGAGACTAATGGAAACACAAAAGGTCATAATAACAAACCATTAGGCCGAGCGGCGAGCTGCCACGAGGAGCATAAACCGCTGCAAAACAACAACAACAACAACAACAACAAAAACATCCATTATGTTAGATATGTTTTGAAACAATTTTCAGAATTAAAATAACTTCGTATGACTGTCATGCAGGCTGCTGGTCTGATGCAGAGCATCTCACCCTGCAGCTTTAATGGTTCGCATCTCGGCCAAATCAATCCGCAGCGGTGGAACAATACCATCCATCAGCAGCAAACCTGAAGGTGCATGACAAGCATGACAGAAATTATATTCAAGACAGCATCATATCGTGCATCTATCTATCTATCCATCATTTCACAGGCTTATTATTTTTGCTCTGGGTTCTTAACATGATATAGTCAGTTAGTCTCGGGGGAGGACAGGTCACATCGGGACAAATTCGTCCAGAAAACAGCTACTGGAAAAGTTGTTTCCATGCTGTCCCAGGAGCGTCTTCTGTACTGCTTTGACTTATTTTAATATATTTATTGTTTTATGTCAGAGGCTGTAGATCATGACCCATGTGTCTAGCTGTAAATACGTTTCCCTAAAACGAAATTTACTTCACATCTGTGTTGCTATGAACACACATGGCTTTTTTATTTTTCCAGTGACTGCCTAAAATGTAAAATACAATGAAAATGGTTCCTAAAAGAAAAAATACCTTTACATCCCAGATATTTTCTCAACATATTTCCTTAAGTGTCGTTGCAGATATTCAACTCACATGTGCTCACAAAAGCCCCATACTGTATTCATAGCCATCCATCTACATCAATGTATAATGATGCCGCTGTGCTTTTTGACTATGTTACTGTAGACAACATAATGTACCGTCTTTCTTCCCTCAGTTCATTCACAAGGCAGCAGCAGCCCGCAACCACAAACAGCCTGCACGGAGAGCTGCGTTTCATTTCTTATCAGCACAATGCTGCCATCTAGCGGTCATGTCCTGTATAGCAGTGACACATGATGTGTGTGTGTGTGAGAGTACGTGTGTTCGCCCGTGCACGTTGATCTAGGGCTGAAAACATAAAGAAACAGAGTAAAAAACAAAACAAATAAAAAAAATAATTAAGAAATTAAGAAGGAACCACAATGGTTCTCTTCTATACAGCCAACAACCCACTGATTATTAAATTTAAATTGTTATTTGACCGTGTGACATATATAAGACTATGTAAGCCATTCATTTTAACCTGGTCTGTAATGAATGTAGACACTGTTTACACCAGCCTATCAAATATGAACAGACTATTTATGATTTTGTTTCAAAGTCAGTTATTTGCAGCTGCTTTGAGTTTTCCTGCAGTGACGTTACCTTCTCAATCAGTGTGTTCATGTGTATTTGGTCAATTAACACATTTTCCTTCACCGTGTTCCGGGAGCTGGACAGGGGTCGTGTGTGTGTGTAGATCTCCAGGGACTCCTGTGTTCAACCTTTGACCTCCATTGAAGCACAAGACCGGTCTTTAGGGAGGAAGTTGGGTTGACTCAGGAAGTGAGGGCAGGTGTCAGCTGCTGGTGTGGGACTGGCGACACTGGACTCTTAACCGGCTGCTCAACTTCATAATTTCATCACAATGTTGTCTTTATTTACTGCTCATCTGAGCCAGTGGGGCTGCAAAGAAAAGAAACTGTTATTCCAAGTTTAAAATTATGTAAATTTAACATATATGTATTTAGAAAACAGTTTTATTGCGTTTATTATATCATCAAATATCATTACCGTCTTTGCTTTCCTTTTACATCCTCCGATGAAAAACTGGATCCATCTGAACTGTATTAAGAAGCAAACGCGTTTTTTCATTATCAGTTAATAATTTTTTCTATAGATTAGTCATTTAGTATAAAAAATTACAAAGCTATTCAATTTAGAACACTATAAAGCGAAGAAAAGCAGCACATCTTCCCATTTTAGAAGCTGGAAACAGAGAATATTTGCTATATTTGCTTTGGTTGATAACTGTGACATTAAATTGATCATTAAAAATGGTTGTCGATTAACTTTCGGTCGATCAAATAATCCATTGATCCACAAACACAATATTGTATCTAATCATGCAGCACAAACTTCTTCTCAGGCTTTGTGGGTTGTTTGATAAGTGTATTTTTTTTAATCCCTCTTTTTGTCATTACATTACATGTCATCACATCAGCTGACAGTTGTTCTCTGCAGGCCAATACAGACCTGAGTAAAGATGCTAAAGCATCATTTAACAAGTGCGATTTAATGACAGTTCCCCTTTTTTTTTTTTTTTTTTTTTTTTTTTCTTAGTGTACGATACAGCCTTACACTACGAAACAGAGGAGAAGCAGGATTTACAATAACAAGAGTAAATCACTCGGTGTAGGAGCTCAGACGTCTTGATACGTTTCCATCAGTAAAAACAAATAAACTCAAATTTAAGATCAGGAAATATACACAAATACACATTTTCTTTTAAAACTGCTTTTCTGTACACATTCTGTATTCAACTAAACTGAGATGGAGATGACTCTGCAGCTTGATTACAAAATGCATTTTGAATTACTGTAACACCCGTCTCTGTTGGCATTACTTTGGCACAATCATACATAGTCAGCAACATAAAAAAACCCCATTTTTTAAAACATTATCAGAAACAGCGCGACTCATCGATTCAAGGACATTTGCATAAATCTTCAAAGGATTCATTTCGATCTTGTGCGGAAGTAAGTTTAACAAAACGGTGCTTTAGTGCTAAAAAAAAAAAAAGAAGAGTCAGTTCAAGTGTTTTGTGTGTGTGAGGATAAACTGATAGAAGAGATATCCGCAAACTCTGCATAGATCTACGTGTGCGGATATCTCTTCTATCAGTTTGAACCGTTTGATACTTCCATCGCTTTAAACATCAGGCCAGGAGGAGCGGTGGTTATCCTGCATTGTTTTAAAAGATAGAAAAAAATACATGAGAGCGTCACAAGCAAATGTTGATGCTGGCTATTATAAAAGAATGTTGATTTTTTAATTTCCATTTCCAACTTGAATTAATTCCTTTAAAAAAAATAAAAAAATAAAAAAAATCTGTATCGTAATACAAACGCTCCTTCAGACTGGCCTCTGTTTCTCTGAACAATTGAACAATTTGAGAACTTTTTTGTTTTCTTCCCAGAGTTAGAGAAGAAGAAGATGGATACGACTCGTGTGCCAAACTATTCCTTTGAAAGTGCTTGCACAATCCCACATATTATAACATTGTGTGAGGTCAGTTAAAATCTGCCACCACATTTAAAAAGAGGCTACCATTACATGAAAGGTGCAGTGTCTTTGACAGACGGCCCGGTAGACCAGCACGTCTCAGGCTCTTTAGTCCTCGTCCCCGTACTGCACCTTGCCGTCACCCAGCAGCCTTTCTCTTTCTCCTGGTCTGTCCTCAACCTCCTCGGTGTTCACCATCGCGGCACAGCACGGTATCCTGGCCAGCAGGGGGCGGTGCAGTCCATTGTAGAGCGCTGTGCCCACCAGCAGCACCATGAAGCCCAGCACCTGCAGGCCCTGGAACTTCTCCCAACCCAGCGCCAGGCTCACCGCCCAGATGACCAGCGTACGCAGGCTGTCCAGCACCATGCGGGTGGTGGCGCTGATCTCTTTAGTGACGCTGATCCCGGCAAAGTTGAAGAAGGCGATGCTGACCGTGTTGCCCAGCAGAGCCAACAGGATGAGAGGCTTGTGCCCGATCTGACAGAAGGCGTCCAGCGCGTCCTCCAGGACCTGCCGAGGGTTGCTGCCGAAGTCGCCAACAGGGATGAAATACATCGGGATGAGAAGCAGCGACAGGACGAAGAACCCAAAGAAACCTGGAAATAAGACAACAGCATTAACATGACCGATAACAGCAGCTCACAACCTTTTAAACAAGTCAAAGTAAAGTCTTGCCCTTCATCTACGCGTGTGGCCAGTTGATTTGACATTTAGGTTTAAATATATTTAGCCAAACTGGAGAAAGTTCTGTGACGGTCACAAGAATATTTAAGTCTCTACAATACTATTATAGATATTCCCCTTAAATAAAAGGTTGGAAAACTAAGTCAAAATGTTACTGTTGGTGTTCCTAAAACAATGTCGCATGTAACTGCAGATGAAAAACTGCTGCACCTTCAATACCAACAGCCCGAAGAGGATGGACGTCATGTTTGTAGACAAACTTTTCCTCCAGGACCATCTGCACTGCAACGATGACCTGAGCCATGATGATCAGAAGGTCTCCTGCAGGACAGAAGAGAGTAGTGGAGTTTCATTTACTGCCTTTAGGAACTGAGGTTGAGGTTAACTGGAGTTTTGATCTCTTCATGATGCTTGTTTGAGTATCCTCTACTGTATCGTTAGAAAACATTTCACCAAATAAGGGCTGCACTTTACTTTTCTCGCTGTTATCCTGAAACACCGTGGATTAAATCCACCTCACCTGTGATGATGTCGCTGAGTTTGTGCGCGTCATCTTTGTGCCCGCTGAGGAAGTCCGAGAGGCCCACGATCACCAGGCCCAGGATGGTGATGAGGATGCCGAGCCACTGACTGGGCACCAGGCGTCGCCCCAGGAACGCCACAGAAAGCAGACCGGTGAAGATGATGACGGCTCCACGCAGCATCTGGAAGCTGGAGGCGCTGGTCATGTTGAGAGCTGCAAAAAAAAAAATATATATATATATATATATATATATAACAAATAACACAAGTTGATTTTCCTTCTAGAAACACAGTCTTTTCACGGACACATTAATCAGTAAAGAAGAGTTTTCTGAGCATTAAGCAGAAACAAAAAGGCAACAAAAAGTCACTTACCCACATACATGATGCAGGTGGCCGTCATGTCACACATGGCGGGAGGGAAGAAGAGGAGAGGGTTGAAGCTCTGGCCGGGGTTCATCTTGGGCTCGGGGCGTCGTCTGTCGTGGCAAAGCAAGATGTAGAAGACCACAATGCAGCTGAGCTCGCCCAGAAACATCCCCACTGCCTGCACAGGGAGACGCGGAGAGAAGAAACTAATGATGATTTACTCTGTGGGAACAGCAGTTTGAGACTATTTTACTTTTTGCAGAAAACTGAACAAATTGTTTTATTTCAGATGCATCATCTCATTTTCAAGAAGGTCTTAAATATGTTGCACTTATTTTAAGTGAAAATGTGCGCATCTATGGCTGTGGTTAATGAGGCTGGGTATCATCTGGAAATTCTCAATGGAACACTTTTATTTTGTGAAACCTTACTTTGAAAGAATGTAATAAATTATATATATATATATAAACAAGTTTTTCTATAAAATTTGATTTTCCATTCAATAAAAATATCCAAAGTTAAAGGTATTTTATGCCAGTTTATTGTACTTCAATGTGATGTGGAGTGAAGATAAGTTGCTTTATAATACCGTATAGTACACAGTTCATTACTCTACCTGTACAAACGGGTGTGCAAACTGGTGTTCAGGGTCATCACGGCAGCCCTTGGCATAGAACATGTCAGCCCATCTGTCAGACAAGAAACCGTTATTACAACTTCATTATTGATATTTTACACAACCAAATATAATAGAAAACAGTTACATATGCAAGGGGTTGGCCACACACGGCTACGGCTGCAAAGATAAGTAATGGAATTTACAACAGGCAATTTCCACTATTTCTGCCATTTTATGAACAAACAAGTAACCAATTACCTATGTGGGTGTAGATGAGGTTTTTTTTGTTTCTCATTTTGTGTTCTTTCATATTATGCCTGCATTCAACTGACAACCAACTCATAAATACCAGTGTGAAGAAGATTTCTGCAGCGAGAGCACATTTCGTTTTACTGTGCCCTCACATAGAATATTGGACAGTCAGACCAGATGATTGGATGAAGTTGGTTGTGAAGTCAAGGAGTGCTTACATCCACATAACCCACTGACTTCTATCATCAGACCGTCAGAGGAAGCGTGACCAGCATGTGAGCGTCCCGTCTTCTTTAAAACGCAAGACAAGGGAATATGGTGACGACGCTGCACTTTCTTCAAACGCAACAACGTCTGAGAAGGAAACCTGATGCAAACCTGACTCTTGAATGTGGTGCATGTTTGCATGAAAGGAAAGAGGGAACTTGCACCAAAACTATCAATCGACATGTTGTATCTGATCTCAGCCGGTGTCATGTGACTGTAGTGAAACTTCACCCGTTAGTTGCTGATTCTTCTTCTGAGCAACATGACACAGCTTGCTTCGTCTGAGACATTAGCCCTCAGACTGTGATTCATTCATCATTGTTGAGTTTTGTTTAGCTGACAAAAACCAACAAAGAGGACAGAGAAGTGTGTCGGGCCGCAGGGAGCTGACGTCACAGATTATGGGGGAAGTTAAAAAAGCTGAATGTCTAGTTTCACTAAAATAGAAAACCTGGTCCTATCGGGACAATATCCAGAGAGGACTTAAATGTATTAGCCATACATCATTTGATCCATCTATCGAAAAAAAACCACACCAAATATTCTCTCCAGCTTCTCAAACTGTTTTCTATGACTGATAATGAAAGTAGTTGTGAGATGCAGTCCATTAAATAAACGAGGAGTCATTTCAAGGCTGAAATGATGGGGGAGTCATCCGTCTCAGTCACGAGTCACGAGTGTTGATCATCAAGTCATTGTTCAAGCCATCTATCATGATGTGACACACATTAACTGTTTCCTGTTTCCTGCTTCTCAGATGTGACGACTTCCTGCTTTCCTCTGTTTTAAATCATCGTTAATTGAATATCTTGAATATTGGTAAGACCAAAAACAAGATGTAATGTAATTTGCATTTTTGTTTTTACTATTTCCTGATGTTTTTAGGACCAACTGATAATGAAAGTGATAGTCAGTTGCAGCTGATAAATCCTCTTTCATGCCAGCTGTTACATAACGTCAGACAGAACATGAATGAGTCCAAACATGTTTGCTAAACACAGATAGCTAATGAGAACATCATTGTACAACCACAGAGGCGCGTATCATATGACTTTACATCGTCAACGACAAACACATGACACCAGCATTAAAACAAACACAAATGAATGTACTCACTTTGCGGATAGTGTGTTGAGAGAGCCGGTTGTGAGCATGAGTCCCGCGAGGAACAGCTGGTATTTAGTCCAAGCCATGCTGGACGTGTGGAGAGGACAAACAAACCGGGCACAGAAAGACCGCCGAGTCGCTTCTTTTTGTTTGAAGAGAACACAGATTGTTATTCCCACACGGCTCCGTGGGATCTCCTCCGCCTGTAAAGGTCACGTGACAAGTCAGAGTCAGCTGATCGACGCGTGAACTACACGCTGCATTCAAGTCCTGCCGGAAATGGCGCAATCGACCCAAAGGAAGATTTAAAAGAAATGATGGTTTTAAAAAACTAGAGGAACCAAACTTGTCCATATTTCTAGTTTAATAAAATAAAACAATAGCCTAATACTATGTAGCCATTAGCCTATTTGTGACTTCAATATATAAGTAAATATCAAAATAACAAATAGCTGAGGTATAAAGTTCATTATTGACTTGAATGCAACCTGCAGGCAACAGTGCGTACATTGTAAGGACAGCTGCAGTATGTACTACAAGTAAAAAGAAAAAGTATGTGATTTGGAACGCAGTATAAGTTTATACCTGATGTGAGAAACTGCAGTAGTTGTCATTTACTTCTGCAGTCTCATTACACTGGCAGGAGTTGTATTAAATGTTATTGCAATGAAAATACTATGTATGGTTTGTTTTGTCATTAGATCTACTTAATACTAGTTTTTATTTCCAAGATCAATACAAGAGGAGTTTACGAGGGGATCTCAAAATAAGCATGATAGGCATCATGGATAAACAGCAGGGGGCGTCAAAGACCCGATAGACCATCTAGGATGAGAAAGTGGGACCACAGTCATTTCTCCCCTCTGTGGCCTCACATTGCTTAAAATTAGAACATGCACTCCCTTTTCCACTAGGATGCCTATGTGCTTATGATGCCAATTTTAGGCGTTTCAAAACCTACAATTGAATATAAAATATAAATAAAATACAATATATTAGTACAAAATGATATAAAATAAAATAATACATCTTTGTCAAGTATGTGTGCACATACATTGCATTCTGTACAAACTTCATCTAATCCACTAATCCACACCACATGTACATTCACAATAGAGTTAATCTCCCATCTGACACAATGTCAACTCATGATGCAAAGTTCTTCTTTTTTCCTATATTGATCATCAGCTGTAATATAGATCAATAATTGGTTATTCATTACAAATTAATGAAATACAAGAGTTGTTTTGTATTGGATTTAGCAATGTATCTCAATGCTTCAAAGGCAGTGGCTTGTGTTTGATATAACAAGAGTTTTAAAATCGTATGACCTTAGTTAAGAATGCCATTCATTTAGTGCTGGCTGTCCTCTTTCGCTCTAAACAGCTGTTGGAGAATCTGAAATGAAGCCAGCCCTGGTCCATCTTTTACACAGCCTCTGTCATCACTCCAGTCTAATTGAATTTAAACATTTTAACAAGTTAGCCACTGTCCTGCTAT